ACTCTGTCTCAAAATTAATGCGTATTAGGGATGTAGTGTTATGCCTGTGTCCCAGGACCCCCGAGCAAGACCACCACAGAGCCAGTATCTGATATAAACACACTGGGGTTTATTGAGTACAAGTTAGCTAACTTGGACTGTAATCCAATACACTGCCGCAGCGGGTCGGGAAGAACAACCTCAAGGCTTCAGGGTAAGGGGATTTTAAAGGGGAAACTGCAGGGCAGGGTAGCACAAGCCTTGCCGTGTCGGGATTGGGTAAAAGTATACAACTTTCGAATTCGTTGGTTGGAATGTACTGGAATTTCAAAACAGTGGTTAATCAGATACCTACAAGGGCGTTTGAACCAAGCAGATGTTGTTTGGACATCCTGGTGGGTCACTTTGACCAGGGTAGGCAGTTTCTTGGGAATGTTCATGACTTGGCTGGGCTGCATTCACCCCCCCTAGTTAGGTCCTGTCTAAAATGGAGTTCTTTCTCAAATGGAGTTCGTTCTGCTCCTCCAGTAGCTCGTTGGTAGAGTGCTTGCCTTGTATGCTTGAAGTCCTGGTTTCAGTTCCTAACATCAAGTAAAACTGGGCATAGTGGCCCACATCTGTAACCCCAGATCTCGGGGGAGGGGAGAAGGCAGAAGGACTGGAAGTTTAAGGTCATTGTCAGCTGTTGTGTGGAGCTTGAGCCGGGCATGGCATGGGAGACTGTCTCAACAAAAAGTTAGTACAGGTTTTAATTCTGAGTGGGTGTAATTCTAGCAGTTACGAGGCAGAGGCAGGAGGGTCAGAAGGTCCAGGTACTCATTGGCTACGTAGTGAGCTGGAAGCCACACTAGACTACAGAGTGAGACTCTGTCTCAAAACCAAACCAAACAAACAAAGCAAGAGGCTGGTGAGATGGCTCACAGGTAAAGGTGCGTGCTGCGGAACCTGAAGACCTGAATTCAGTCCCTGGAGCCCACATTGTGGAAACAGAAAACTGACTCCAGCAAGTTGTCCTCTGCTCTCCACACATACACAGACACACTAACTAACTAACTAAATAAACAAACAAAATGTGATTAAAAATTAAATTTTTTCAAACAATATTTTTTGGCCTTTCTTTAAAAAAAAGTTTTGAGAGATTTATTTTATTCTTTTATGTGTATGAGTGTTTCGCCTGCATGTGAGTATGTGTACCAAATGTGTGCCTGGTGCCCATGGAAGTCAAAAGAGGGCACTGGATCCTGGGGACTGGAGTCCAGAAGGTTGTAAGCTGCCAAGTGAGTGCTGAGGCTAAGACCCAGGGAAGAGCAGCCATGCTCTTCCACCCTGAGCCACCTCTCCCTCTCCAGCCACTGTCTGGCTGTCTTTAAAGAGCTGCAGTTTCTATTGTTATGATGAAGACCATGACTAGGGCAGGAAAGGGTTTATTCGGCTTGTGCACCATGAGTCACCATCCACTGGGGGAAGCCAACGCAGGAGCTCCAGCAGGGAAGGAATCTTGAGGCTGGAGCAGACGCAGAGACCACAGAGAAATGCTGCTGACTGGCCTGCTCTGCCTTGGCTTAAGTCTGCTAAACCAGAACCACCAGCCCAGAGATGGCACCACCCACAATGGCCTGGGCCCTCCCACAACAATCACTGATTAAGAAAATGCTCTCTGGCTTTGCTCACAGCTCAATCTTATGGATGTACTTTCTCAATCAAGGCTCCCTTCTCTCAGATGACGATAGCTTATGTCAAGTAGACATAAAACTAAGCCGTCACAAGATGGAAGGTCCCACCATTCCTAATTAGAATTCCTGCTGGAAAGGGAGACAGGTGCCCAGAGCCAAGCAAGCCTTCTATGGCTCTGACCTCCCCTCGCTTACCTTGCCTGGGTGGGGAGGTGAAGGGGTAGGAAGGAGGGGGTGTGGGGAGGGTAGGGAGGTGGGGGATGTCAGGGGTGTCCAGTGCTTATGAACTGCAAGGAAACCCGCAGTGAGGCAAGGTAACTTAGCCTTCTTTACCCTTGAGTGAAATAAGGACAGACCCCCCCGCACACACCTCCCCCAAAAAAAGTTTAGTCAGGAAGCCACTGAAGAGAACTCTTAAAAACTGTGATGGGGATACAGGCAGTGGTGGCGCACACCTTTAATCCCAGCACTCGGGAGGCAGAGGCAGGCCGATCTCTGTGAGTTTGAGACCAGCCTGGTCTACAAGAGCTAGTTCCAGGACAGGCTCCAAAGCTACAGAGAAACCCTGTCTCGAAAATAAAATAAAATAAAATAAAAACAAACAATTGTGATGGGAGATCTGAAGTGTAGCTCTAAACTGCGGATGGCTTCTGGCAGGGGTGGGGAAGGACTCAGTTTTCTTTGAGGGGCTGGCCACTGTGAGTTTGACCATGCTCTAGTGAGTGAATGGGCAACACAAAATTGGACTTGGTATATATTTCTTTCTTTTCTTCTACTGGTGTGGGGGGGGAGTCACAAGGAGAGGAGTGGGCCTCGGAAGACTGGGAACTGAATGTGACCAGGATGCATTATATGAAACTTCCAAATAATCAATAAAAATATTACGTTGGGGGAAAAAAAGAAGGGAAATGAGTACAGCTCATTCTAGTCTCCTATGCCAGAGCCTCCTCTCTCCACCTACTCAGAACACATCCCCAAGCCAGATTAACTCCTTAGCAACAATAATAATAAAATAATAAGCAGTCTTCTGAGTCCAGGTAATGGCTTGTATGAGCTCCCAGGTCTTAATCTACAATAATACAGACCTCAGTGGCTCATGGAACCCAGGAGACAAGAGTGGGCAGAGAAGAAAGCATCCTACTCAGGGAGAGATTGAGAGCAGAATACTGAGGGAATTCAATATTTTTGACTTTTTTCGAAGCTATGTGGAACCTGAGTTGAGGTCTAGGCGGCCTGCCCTAATGAGCAGCCTCGAGTCCCAGCTGTTGCTTTAGGGTGGCGATGAGGCAGGGCTGAGAGAGCTGGCAAAGGCTAACACCTGCTAACACTGGCGCTTCAGGTAAACATTGAATCTTTTTTTTTTTCCTTTTCTTTTCTTTTTGGTTTTCTGAGACAGGGTTTCTCTGTGTAGCTTTGGAGCCCATCCTGGAACTCACTCTGTAGACCAGGCTGGCCTCAAACTCACAGAGATCTGCCTGCCTCTGTCCACCAAGTGCTGGGATTAAAGGCTTGCGCCACCATCACCCAGCACACTGAATCATGGACCATTTTTTAACATAAATATGTCCCATGTGTATTTGGGCCTTATACTAAAAGTGAATCTGAAATTTTTATGCCCAAGGGCATCCTATGCTTTATCTGACAACTCCTAGTGAGTTTTAGAATGTTTAAAAGGAGACATTGGGAGGCTGGGGTATAGGAGATGCTGGGAGACTGGGAGATAGGAGACATTGGGAGACTGGGAGAGCCGGGGGGGGGGAGGCAAAATGTCTGCCGTGCAATCAGGAAGACCAGGTCGCAGATCCCTAGCACCCACAGAAAAAGCAGGATGTAGCCGGGTGATGGTCGCACACACTTTTAATCCCAGCACTCAGGAGGCAGAAGCAGGCAGATCTCTGTAGATTTGAGGCCAGCCAGGGCTACACAGAGATACTCTGTCTTGAAAAACAAAAAAACAAAAATCAAAAACAGCAGATGTAGCAGTGTGCTTGTAACTGTCAAGGGAGAGGTGGAACACGGGGATGGGGGAAGACAGACACCAAGACAGCGGACAGGCAGATCCCAGGGCTGTTCTGTCCTGATGTCTGCTCTGACGTAATGGAGCACATATGTAAGCCCAGCATTTGAGAGGTAAAATGCAGGAAGATCTGGAGTTCAAGGCCAGTCTTGGCTACATAGCAAATTCAAGGCCATCTTGAATTACATGAGAACCTGTTTCAGCCCTTTCCCCCAAAAGGTTAAAATACCGTTTTGCTTAAGACAGGGTTCCATTATGTAGCCCAGACTGTCCTCAACATAATAATTTTCCTACCTCCTATGTCCTGGGATTACACTGCTTCTGAAAATGTCGTGAACAGAAGCACCCTGCTCATGTGGTAGTGATTGTAATCCCCACACTTAGGCAGCCACAGCAAGAAGATGGAGAGTCCGTGCTAGCCTGGGGTACACAGTGAGACCGTGTCTCAAGAAGAAGGAGAAGGGAGAGGTGGAGGAGAGAGAGGTGAAAAGGAGTGGAAGGAGAGACCAGACATGGTGGTGCACATCTTTAATACCAACACTTGGGAGGCAGAGGCAGGTGGATTTCTGTGAGTTGCAGGCCAGCCTGTTCCAGGACAGCTAGGGTGGCTGTCTGTCTCAAAAAAACAAAAAGGGAGGTGGGAGGAGATGGGGAGCCTGGAGAGATGGCTCATAGGTTAAGACTTTGGTTTGTTCCTGCAGCACCCACATGACAGCTAGCAACTCTCTGTGACTCTAGTTCCAGAGGACCTGACGCCCTCGTCTGATTCCTGTACATGGTGCACAGACATACATGCAGGAAAAACACCCAGCCACATAAAATTAGTTATTTTTTTTTTTAGATAGAGAATGACTCACTGGCTGGCCTAGAACTTTCTTTGTGAACCAAGTTGGCCTTGAACACACAGAAATTCTCCTTCCTCTGCCTCCAGAGTGCTGGGATTAAAGTCATAAACCACTACCTCTGGATCAATAATAAATAAATCTTAAGAAGAAGAGGAGAAGTTAGGTGGCGGTGGCGCACGCCTTTAATCCCAGCACTCGGGAGGCTGAGGCAGGCGGATCTCTGTGAGTTCGAGGCCAGCCTGGTCTACAAGAGCTAGTTTTAGGACAGGCTCCAAAGCTACAGAGAAACCCTGTTTTGAAAAACCAAAAAGAAAAAAGAAAAAGAAGAGGAGGAGGAGGAGGGACAGGGGATGGGGAAACAGAGTAGCAATCGTTTGGGCCGAGTTCTCTTGAGCAGCTCAAGCGACAGGCGACAGGCGCACTGAAGCCCTGAGCTAGGATGCGAAGCTCTGAACCCTGCTCACGGCTGACTCTTTTCCCTTTCAGTCCCCGTCACCTCAGGGAACAGCATGGCCGTGGATGTGACAGAATATCATCTGAGCGGTGAGTCCCCCAGACAAGACCTCTGAGGACCACAGCCTCAGGAACTGCACCAAGCCTGGGATGGGAAGTGTCAGTGGGATGAGAAGGGCAGCCTTCTTCCTTAGGCCACACAGCCCTGGGGACAGCATCCTGAGACCCATTTGTGGTCTCCTTGTCTTTTCACTACAGTGGGTTCTTTCCATTTCTTTGGTTTGATTTGTGTGTTTTTTGTTATTGGTGTTTTGTTTGTTTCTTAGACATGATCTCATGTAGCCCAAGATGGCTTCAAAAACAATTGTTTTGCATTTTGTGTATGTGTGTGTGTTTGTATGCATGTATGAATATGTGTGGGCATACATAGGAGGTATGTCTGTGCACATGTGTGTGCATGTGGTAGCCACCACTGGCACCACTGATGCCCAGAATCATCCGTCAGTAGTATTCCACCTTATTCCTTGAGGCAGGCAGTCTTTCGGTGAAATCCAGAACTTGCTTATTTGGCTAGTCTCAGTAGCCAGCTTGCTCCGGAGAATCCCCAGCTCTGATTTCCAAGGCTGGAATGACAAGCGTTTGTCACGCCCACCACCCCAGCATTTCTATGGACTCTGGGGCTCCAAACTCTCAGCCTCACCCTTGCACAAGCGCTTTGAGCACTGAGCTCTCTCCCCAGTCCTGGACCCCTGAATTCTCTGTGTAGCCAAGGATGAACTTGAACTCATGATCCGCCTGTTTCTACTCACTAAATCTTGGGATTACAGACATGTGCCACCACACCTAGAAACATGTCTGTTAAAAAGATTCCCTTTGTCTGAGACGGGGGTTCCCTGTGAGACCTTTGTTGTACCAATCCCTGGGGATAAGCCTGTGACAGAGAATCTACTCGTCTGGGGCCCTCCTGGAATTTGTCCGTGTTAGACAATGCTGCACTTACTAAGGTCAAGGATGACGAGAGTCTGGGACTCACCCTTGCCCTTCTTCAGTTCTGGGAGATGACCTAGATACTCCATCATACTCCCACAGTCCTGCTCACAAGTGCTGTCATGGCTGATACACAGCTGCCGTCTTTCTTCCAGATGTCTGCCTCCCTATTGACAGCAATAGGAGTGAGCCTTAGTGAGCAAAGGGACAGTAACAGGTCAGGATGTGACCCCAGATTTCCTAACCTCCTAGTCCAGCACTCCCTGTCACACCAGTGCAGGCCCCACTGACCCGGGGCTGGACTTCAGGGTGGGGCAGCGACAGCCTTTCTTAGGCCCCAACCAGAGAGCCTCAGTTTTCATCTGCAGTCCCACTGGTCTTCACACAGAGAACACGGTGTGGCCTTTGACAGTGTCACGGCTCTCCCAGTTTGGATCTGACTGTCTTACCCACTCTGCCTGGCTGAGACCTGTGTCTCAGGTGGAAACCTACAGAGTGCAGATCCAGAGCCAGACAATCATAGGATTCTCCTCTGTCCTCGGCTTCCTCTTCTGAAATGGAACAGCATGGCTCTCAGGACTCAAGGAGCCAATGGGAAGAGCTTAAGCTAATCCTGGCAAGAAGGGTTAGCACACAGTAAGAAAGCTATTACCAGGTGTATGTCTTTTGTTTTGGGTTTTGTTGTTGTTGTTGTTTTTGAGACAGGGTTTCTTTGTATAACAGCCCTGGCTGTCCTGGAACTCACTCTGTACACCAGGCTGGCCTCGAACTCACAGAGATCCACCTGCCTCTGCCTCCTGAGTGCTGGGATTAAAGTTTAGGCTGTGTGTAATGGTGCATGCCTTTAATCCACATACTTCAGAGACGGAGGCAGGTGGGCCAATGTGTGTTCTAGGCAAGCTTTGTGTACATAATGAGTTCCAGTACAGCCAGATCTATAAAGTAACTCTTCACCCCCCCCCCCAAAAAAAAACTGTTAGGAGTCCCTCTCAGTCTTAGCGTAGGCTTCACTTCCATTGACGTACCCACTGTCCCTCCTGGTACTCCATAGAATCTGTCGATTTAATGGGTATTCATTACCATTCCCTGCCACCTGCCTGAGTTTTTCTTTCCCTGTCCCTAGCTTTGCTAACCCTAGCTCTCCCCAGTTCTACCAACCAGCACTGAAAATTTAGTCCCTTAGAGCCTCTCATGCAAGGGTGCCTGACTCTGCTGTGCCCCTGGATATGTTTGGGACTGTGGACCTTTCTTCTGGAATTCTACTTTCTTCTGGAATTCTAGACAGACCCCCTCCTGCCTGGCCTGATGTGGCCCAGCGGGCCAGTTACTTTCCCATCCCACCCCCAGTTTGCAGACTCCGAGGACGTTCCAGAATCTTGTCTTGTCTGGGCCTGGGACCCTCTAGATGCTTTGGTTGTGATTTCAATTGGCTCCTGTTATATCACAGGAAAAGTCTAGAATAAACAGAAGATGACTTGAACTCCTGATCCTGTGTCTTCATTTCCCAAGTGCTGGAATTCCTCGCACCTGATACCACATCTGACTGAAACACCAGCCTGCAAGCTCTTGTCCCTATGTTGTGTGATCTTTTTATATTAAAATCTATCATGTTGAGGAATGATTTTACTTCTTTTTCTTAGTGCTGGCAATGTTCCTATCACCTCCATCCTAATGACCTAAGTTGTCATTCTCAAAAGCCAATGATATTCCTGCCAGTCACAGAACAGCCAACCCCCAGCAGCTCCCTCCGTGGGACCTTCAGGATGCTCTCAGAGCTCCTCTGTTATAAATAAGCAGTGACTCACATGAGACATAACATATGTTGGGATTTTTCCCCTTCAAATAATACATCCTCTGGGTGGAACCACTGAATGAGGGACGTTTGTCACCTCCAGTCTCCCAGGGAGGACACTGACGCCCAGAGAGGCTGGTGACATGGGGATGTACCTTGGAGCCAAGGTACCTGAGCCCAGAGGGTGCTCATTGCTGGAGGAATGTCTGGCTAAAGGTCCAGCCCTGTCCTTTGGTTTCTTGGGCTTTGGGGAGCAGAGACAAGGAGCCCCTCTGGTTCATGGTGCCTTGTTCTCTCCCTTCCACTGGGCTCAGGTCATTTGTCAATACCTCCTTTCTGCTGGCCCACAACTCCTAACCCCTGTTGCACAGCCTGCCATTCTTCTTATTTTATTTTACCTTGTGTATATGACTGTTGTGCCTGCAGGGATGTCTGGACTACTTGTATGAACATGCTGCTCACAAGGGCCAGAAGAGGGTACTTGGAACTAGAGTTATAGCCAGTTGTGAGCTACCATCTGAGTGCTGAGATTCAAACCGGGGACCTCTGGGAGAGCAGCCAATACCCTTAACTGCTGAGCCACCTAGCCAGCGCTGCCATACTTCCTGCTCCTCCACGTATCTCAGCCTTCCTGCACTCCCAGCAGAGTTTCCAGCATCCTGTTTGATGTATCTGTTTGCCTGCCCACTCAGTGCTGGTTCCCCTATTCCAAGGTGCTGGCATGTATGTACATCCAACGTTCAGCGATCAGACTCCACCCTGCTTCTGTTATTTCTTGTTTCTTTATTTTAATGTATTCATTAGATCTCGGTTTCCACTCAGAAAGACCCTCCATCCCTCCACAGATCTCCACCTTGCCACTCCGAGGGAGCTGAGCCAGGTGTGGCTCTGATTCTTACCCTGGAGTCAGGTGCTGGAGACACAGCCTAGCTCTACTCACTTTCAGTTCTGTGGCCTTGGGAAAGTTCTTTAAGTTCCCCAAGCCTCAGCTTCCCCATTTGAGTTGAGTACGCAATAGTACTAGAAATGGCTTAGAGTCCTATCTGGCTCCACTGTCGCTTGCCACATGAAACATCTTGGTGGTTTCCTTAGGACATCAGAGACAGGTTCCTGAGCAGGGTGAGACCACATCCTTGAGCACGTGTGGTCCTGTCGTGGCCCATGCACTGTATAAGGTGAGGATTCACAGGGAAATGGTTGAGGGATTAAATTGCTATGTGTGGGAACAGAGATTCCAGTGGTGACAGCCATGCCCTGGTCAGCAGAGGAACAGAGCCTTTGGTTTCTCTTGAGGCCAAGCACAGCCTGTGGCCACCTCTTGCTTAAGTGGAACTGGTGTGTTGATTTGAGGTTAGAGATTTACTAAGAAGTGAAATCCACTTGTATAAGCTAGGGATTGGAGCTCATACCTGCAATCACAACACACAGGAGGCTGAGGCAGGAGGATCACAAATTTGAAGTCAGCCTGAGCTGCATAGTGAGACCCTATCTCAAAACAAAATAAATTCAACTACTGTCCAGTTAACTGGGCATGGCGGGAAAGGCTTCTAATCCTAGCATTTGGGAAGTGGACACAGGGTAAACAGAAGTTCAATTCCAGCTGTGTGACAAGCTCTAGGCCAAGCTGGGAGGGATGCATGGGAATTTGTCTCAGAAAACAAAAGCATCAACTATGGACTTCGCCACTTTAAAACATGCACAGCAGTAGCTTTTAGGATAATGAACATCCAGTGGACTTTTAGAATATTTTCATCATCCCAAAAAGAAACTCTATCCCTTCAACTACCCCCATTTACTATATCTAAACAGTTTTTATTATTTTTTAAATTTATTTTTATTTTTTGTGCATTGATGTTTTGCCTCCATGTATGTCTGTGTGAGGATGTCGGGTCCACAGACAGTTGTGAGCTGTCATGTGGGTGCTGGGAATTGAACCTGGGTCCTCTGGAAGGGCAGTCAGTGCTCCCAACCGCTGAGCCATCTCTTAGCCTGGTAGCTTTTTTATTATTTTTATGTGTATGTGTAAAGTGTATGAGTTAGTGTATGTGTGTGTGTGAAGTGTATGAGTTAGTGTATATGTGTGTGTGAAGTGTATGAGTTGGTGAGTGTCTTCCTCCATCCTTGCTCTCTACCTTAGTTTTGAGACAGAGTCTCTCCTCAGCCTTGCCAGTTGGCTAGACTGTCTGCTCAACAAGCTCCGGAGAGCCACCTGTCTCTGTCTACAGCACTAGGGTTACAACATGAGCCACTGCACCTGGCTTTTATGTCAGAGCGCTGGAGATCTGAACTCAGGCCTTCAGGCCGTACAAGGGGCAGTTTATGTTCGAGCCTTCTCTCCAACCTCTTGAATAGTTCTTTTTTGCTTGTTTTTTGTTTTTTTATTTTTCGAGACAGGGTTTCTCTGTAGCTTTGGAGCCTGTCCTGGAACCAGCTCTTGTAAGACTAAGCTGGCCTTGAACTCACAGAGATCCCCCTGCCTCTGCCTCCTGAGTGCTGGGATTAAAGGCATGCGCCACCACCGCATGTGGCTTGAACAGTTCTTATGTAGTTGTCCCTCAGTACCTTCAGGAGCTTCATTCCTGGACCCCCACTAAATACTGAAGTCCACAGATGACCACGTTAATGATGTAGTGTTCGCACAGTTTCTAGGCACCCTCCCGAGTGCCTTCAGCCATCTCTAGGTGACTCCTAATACTTAATATAATGTCAGTCCTAGTAAATATTCATTGCCCCACTCTCTTAAGGGAATAAAGATACAGGAAACAGAAGTCTGAAGTCAGGACGGTTACAGCCTGATTGCACAATCCGTTATTCAGGATGAGCAGAGGCTACGGGGAGGGGGCTGGAACCCACAGACAGAGGCTGACTGTAACAGAATTACACATGTGGTCCCTGTGACCAGCTTCTCACAGCCACCAGGGTGTGCTCAAGGTTCATCTGCTTTCTGTTCTCTTAGCATTGACCTTGTTATTTCCAGGTAACATTCTTGGAGTGACTGCGCCGTGTCCCGTACATGAGTGTGTCACTATTTGGCTTAACCATTCACCCACTGACGGGTGTTGGGTTGTTCTAAGTGGGGCTTAAAGCACAGGTAGTCAGTTCTTTTTCTCCTCAGAATCTTCATCCTTTTCCCCAGGAGGGAAAGGCCATTTTGATTCTTTGAAGCGAGAGGCCCTCTGAGGACTTTGAAGCCAGGGAACCCACGAAAGCAAGAGCAGTTCTGTTTTTCTGAAGCCCGAGGGATATCTAACCACCATGTGAGGGTTTTCTTCTGCTCTGGCCAAGTGGCTCCCAGTGGAAACGTATGGTTTTGTGGAAGAGGAAGCAGAAGCAGAGATCTCAAGAGTGTGTTTAAACTGGATGTGGTGGCGAACATATATAATCCCAACACTTGGAAGGCTGAACTAGAGAATTGTGGGGCTGAAGAGATGGCTCAGTGGTTAAGACACTGTCTGCCTTTCTAGAGGACCCAGGTTCAATTTCCAGTACCCACATGGCAGCTCATAACTGTCTGTAACTCCAATTCCAGAGGATCCAGTAGCTCCTCACGGACCTGCAAGCTAGTGCACTTAAAAATAAATAAATTTAAAAAAAAGAAATAAGGAATTGCCTAGAATATGAGACCAGCCTGGGCTACATAGCAAGACTGCCTCAAAAAAGAAAGCAAAAAAACAATCAGAGTGTTTAGCACTAAATTTGTAGGCTCTCATACCAAGTCTTACAACAGTATAAATTTTTTAAATAAAAATTTTTATTTTCTTTTTTAAATTTGTATTTACTACATATGTATGTATTTACTCATTGAATTGTGGCTTATATGTGTGTGTAGGCATGCCATGGCGCTCGTGTGGAGGACACAGGACAATTTATGGGAGTTGGTTGTGCTCTTCCACCATATGGTGCTCAGGGGTCAAACTCGGGTCATCAGTTGGTGGCAAGTACCTTACTCAATGAGCCATCTTGCTTTCTTCTTCTCAATAGACATTGTATAGTACATAGTATCACTAGGTAGGGTGATGCCCTGAGAAGGTGGAAGGAGGATTGGAGCTAAAGTCATCTCAGCTGCACAGCAAGTTTGAGGCCTGCCTGGGCAGCATGAACCCCTGTCTCTCTCTCTCTCTCTTTTTTTTTTCAAGACAGGGTTTCTCTGTAACTTTGGTGCCTGTCCTGGAAATGAACCCCTATCTTAACAAACAAATAAACCAGAAAACAGGGCCTTGGGAGGAGGTGTCTCAGTCAATGAAATGGTCACCATGCAAGTCTGAGGACCTGAGTTTGGTCCCCATCCTCTACGTGAAGTCGGGATGACATGTGTTTGTAATTCCAAACCTTGGGGCTTGCTGGCCAGCTAGCAGAACTTGTGTCCAAAAAAGGTGGACAGCTTCTGAAGAACATCACTTAGGATGACCTTTGGCCTTCCTGTGCATTCACACAGATGTGCATGCTCACCCATTCGGGCGTATGTATGCACACATGCATGCTCACATAATAAAAAAGCCAAGCACACAAAGCATGTAAGTGTGTAAGCACCCTTGGCGATCTCTGTACCCCACTAATGAGACGCTGTCCTTGCCTTGCAGTCATCAAGAGCCCCCCTGGCTGGGAGGTGGGTGTCTACGCTGCCGGGGCCCTGGCACTGCTTGGAATCGCGGCTGTGAGTCTGTGGAAGCTCTGGACATCGGGGAGCTTCCCCAGCCCCTCTCCGTTCCCTAATTATGACTACAGGTACCTGCAGCAGAAGTATGGAGAGGCCTACGTGGAGGCTAAGCTGAAGGTGAGGCTTCCGCTCCTGCGTAAATCCACGTCCCACCATCCATTCTGAGGGTCAGACCTCTCTTACACCCCTGCAGATCGACAACTCCTAACCCTGGGCTTGTTGAATAAATGTTTGATGTCGAGTAAGGGATTGATCACAGTTTTAAAAAACAATCACAGCCGAAGCCGGGTATGGTGGTGCACATCTTTAGTCCCAGCACTCTGGAAGCAGAGGCAGGAGGCTCTCTGTAAATTCAAGGTCAGCCTGGTCTACAGAATGATTTCCAGGACAGCCAAAAACTTGTCTCAAAAAAACCCAAAAAACAAACAAACAAAAATCTTAAAAACAACCCCACATCATCTGAGACTAGCTGTGACAGTTTGCACCTGTGTCGTATGAGCAGTGACACACCTGTAATCCTACACCTTCGGTAGCTCAAGCAGGAAGATCATGAGTCAAAGGCAGCCATGATGTCCAGGCTGCACAGTAAGACCTTGTCTCAGAAGACTTTCCTGTGGGTCAGGGAGGTGGTTCAGAGGGTACACTGGCATGCCCACCTGTTCCTACACCTGATAACTGAGTTCAGTCCCTGGGGCCGTGGCAGGAGAGAACAGACTCTTCCCACAAACTGAGGTTCACACACATCATCACACCATCACACACACACGCACACACACACACACACACACATGCATACACAGAGGGAGAGAGAAACAGAGACAGAGAGAGAATAAATAAAATGTAGCAAAAATTCTAAGAATATCATGTAAAAAAATAGAGGAAAATACAAATAATAGAAAAACATTTTTACAATGCTACTACACAACTATTTACTTGCTTATTTATTATTTGGGATTTGTTTTTAGACACTGTCTTACTGTGTTTTCCTGGAACTCACTATGTAGACCAAGCTGGCCTTGAATTTGTAGTGATCTTCTTGCCTGTGCCTCTCTGTAATGTGTAAAACTTGATCATTATTTGGGATGCTATACTTTTCTTCATTTTTTTTGTTGTTTGTCTGTTGTAAGATTTTGGGGGGAGGGTGTTGAGACAGGGTTTCTCTGTAGCTTTAGAGCCTGTCTGGAACTAGCTCTTGTAGACCAGGCTGGCCTTGAACTCACAGAGATCTGCCTGCCTCTGCCTCCCGAGTGCTGGGATTAAAGGCCTGTGCCACCACCGCCTGGTGTTGTAAGATTTTTTTTAATTCCCCTTCTCACCCCCCCCCCAGGTGGTAGTGGTACATACCTTTAATCCCAGTACTGAGGAGGCAGAGGCAAGTGAATCTCTGAGTTCAAGACCAGCCCGATCTACAGATGTAGGTCCAGGACATCTAGGGCAACACAGAGAAACCCTGTCTTGAAACAAACAAAAAAAAAAGTGAGGGTTTTGTCTGCATGTATATCTGTGCACCACATGCGTGTTTGGTGCCTGAGGAGACCAAAGAGGGCATCAGGTCCCCTGGAGCTGGAGGTACAAGTGGTCATGAGCCTCCAAGTGTCCGTGTGTCCAAGGGGGGTTGAACCTTTGCGTCTTCCTGGAGAACAGTTAGTGCTCTCTGTCACTGAGCGGTGTCTCCCGCCCTAAGACTTACTTTAAGCTTCTCATACATACTGCTGAAGCTGAGATCATTCCGTGCTTGGCAGAGGGTGTTTCAGGCATCACATAGAGTTCCAGAGAGCACAGTATGACTCTGTTATCAGATCAGATGCTCACTCATTGGTGGGTCCCTGCTACGAGAGTGCAAACTGGGACAACTTTTCCAAGAAGCATTTTGGCAACACATGTTGAAAACTGACAAAAGGACTGTCCTCAGAGTTAGGATCTTACTAAAGCTATTTGGGGGCTGCTCATGGTAGAGCACACCTTTAAATCCAGACCTCTGAAGTAAAGGCAGGCAGGTCTTTATGAGTGAGTTCCAGGCTAGCCAGGGGTACTTAGACCCTGTCCCAAAAACAAAAGGAAAGAAAGCAGTTGAGGCTGGGGGTGGTGGCATCGCCTGTTATTCTTCGTATTCAAGAGACAGAGTCATAGGTAGTGGCGGTATACACCTTTAACCCCAGCACTCAGGAGACAGAGGTAGGCAGATCTTTGTGAGTTCGAGGCCATCCTGGTCCACAGAGTGAGTTCCAGGACAGCCAGGGCTGTTTCATCATAGAGAAACCCTGTCTCAGGCCGCATAGGTGCGCGTGTGGAGGTCAGAGGACAGTTTATAGGAGACAGGTTCTCTCTTCCCATCATGATCCAGCTCAGGCTTGGTGTCCGTCGCCTGTACCTGCCAAGTCGTCTTTCTGGCCCTTGGCTTAGGGTTGGTTTTTTTTTTTTTTTTTTTTTTTGATTTTTCAAGGCAGGGTTTCTCTGTGGCTTTGGAGCCTGTCCTGGAACTAGCTCTGTAGACCAGGCTGGTCTTGAACTCACAGAGATCCGCCTGCCTCTGCCTCCCGAGTGCTGGGATTAAAGGCGTGCTCCACCATTGCCCGGCTTGGCTTAGGTTTTTGTGATCTTCCTTTGAGGCTACTCAACCAACTGTGGAGTGATGTAATCCATGATCCTTAACCTAGTCCTTTTCGTTTGAACATTTAGTTAATATTGTTTGATGGTCTTGAGACTGGCTTTCAGGAACCTGACCTTGAACTCCTTACCCTTCTGTTTCTACCTCCCACATTTTGGGGAAAATGTGCTCCTCCACATCCAGCAGCTTTTCCTCCTCCTCCTCCTCCTCCTCCTCCCCCTCCTCCTCCTCTTCTTCCTCCTCCTCCTCTTCTTCCTCCTCCTCCTCCTCTTCTTCTTCATTATTTATTATGTATACAGTGTTCTGCCTGCAGGCCAGAAGAGGGCACCAGATCTCATTGTAGATGGTTGGGAGCCACCATGTGGGTGCTGGAATTGAACTCAGCCAGAGCTCTAACCTCTGAGCCACTCTGAGTCATCTCTCCAGCCCAGCTTTTCCTTTTCCTTTTTTTTTTTTCTTTTGGTTTTCGAGACAGGGTTTCTCTGTGTAACAGCCCTGACTGTCCTGGAACTAGCTTCATAGACCAGACTGGCCTCACAGAGATCCGCCTGCCTCTGCCTCTGCCTCCCGAGTGCTGGAGTTAAAGGCGTGCACCACCACCACTGGGGTCCAGCTTTTCCTTTTTATAAATGCCATTGCAGCTGACATATTTATGTATGAAATTTTGTCACAACAAATAAGTAATTTAAAGCTAGGTGGTGGTGGCACACACCTTTAATCCCAGCACTTGGGGGGCAGAAGCAGGAGGATCTCTGTGAGTTTAAGGCCAACTTGATCTACAAGAGCTGGCTCCAGGAAAGGCTCCAAAGCTACACAGAAACCCTGTTTCAAAAAACCAAAAACCAAAACCAACAACAACAAAAAAAGTATTTAAGAAAATGCTTTCTTCCATTCTGGTTAAAGAGAGGAAAGTCTAGATGTGGTTAGTACATGACTTTAACTCCAGCACTCAGGGGTTAATGCAGGCGGGCCAGGAGTTCCAGGCCAGCCAGGGATATGTAGCAAGTTCCTGTGTTGAGTTCCAGGCCAGCCAGAGATATGTAGCAAGTTCCTGTGTTGAGAGAAAAAGAAACAAAGTAATAGTCCCCTGGGCTCGTATTGTGAAAGGAGCAAACAGGCAAAGGACATCTCTGCTGTCCCCTAGAGATGGTGCCCGTGACCCATGTAATGCTTCCCTGTCCCTTTTGTTCACCCACAGAGAGTCCCTCAATGGAATGCCCAACGGACCAACACTCAGGGACCATCCAGCCGCAAAGGCAGCCTCAGTATCGAGGACACCTTTGAGAGTATCAGTGAACTGGGACGCCTGGAGCTGATGGGTCGGGAACTGGACCTGGCCCCCTATGGTACTCTCCGCAAGTCACAATCGGCTGACTCTTTGAACTCCATTTCCTCTGTGAGCAACACCTTTGGGCAGGATTTCACACTGGGCCAGGTGGAGGTGAGCATGGACTACGACGCAGCCTCCCACACCCTTCACGTGGCAGTGCTGCAAGGCAAGGACCTCCTGGAGCGCGAGGAGGCCACCTTCGAGTCCTGCTTCATGCGCATCAGTCTGCTGCCAGATGAACAGATCGTTGGCATCTCCAGGGTAAGTGGGGCTGGGCCAGTGAGGTGCCCTGGGTTCCCTGAAACCGGTCAGGGAAGCTGACATCTGGGCTGGTGGACAGAGCTGCAGTACCAGACAGGATGACAGGGGGCGCTGAAGAGCCGATCAGAATATGACTGTAGAGGAGAATGGCCAGGGATAGAACCAGCTTTGTGTTACCGCTGTGTACAGGTTTCAATCTTCCTATCATGCAAGGGCAGTGAGTAACTAACTGTCCGTCTCCACATCTGTCAGCATGGAGTCTTGGCAAGAAGAAAGATGGCCCGCTCATTTGGCTGATCTGGGAGAGAGTTCAATGGCAGGCTCATTTGCTATTTGCTTTGGAATGGGTCGGGGAGAGGTGGCCTCAGTGGTGGCATGGTTCCATGAGTTTGTGAATGAGAAGGGAGGCCCACCCCAGGAACTGAAAAAAAAAAAACATGAGAGGAAAGTGAATTCTGGGTCCCAAATGAAAGGGTCACCTTCATAGGAGCTGTATTCTCTCATGAGAGTGTATAGTCGGCCCCCGGGGAAACTGAAGATATGATTTGGGAGGTAAACATTCGAACCCTCTCTGATCTCTGTTTTCTTCTGGTGACCCCCGTGGCTCACCCTGCTGGAATCCAGAGACCAAGGGAACTTGCTGACACAACCTCTGACCGTCAGCAACCAAGAGGAAAGGGGTTAGATCCAACGGGGAGGATACAGGACACCTCCAAGGTGCTGCACCTTGACAGCTACACCCACTGCCCAGCAGCAGGCTAAGAGGAGTCCAGATCCTGAGCCTCTGAGACGGACTCTGCAAGACCAAGGGTCGCCTGTGTTCTTGGAGCCTCATCTGTATGATTCACACTGAACACTGAGTGGCTGGCTCTCAGTGGTGGATGTTCCACCCCACCCCCAGAGTACCCCATAACTCTAGAAGACTCTACAACTAACCACCAGCCCTCTATTCATGTGCTGCTGAGAGTCTAATTTTCTACTCGCAGTATAGCGCCAGTGGGCGGTTAGGAATTGGGTTAAAACCCAAGTTCCACCCCTGCTTGGCGGTGTGACCTTGAGGTGTGACCTTGAGCGAGTCACTGTTCAGCTCCCCTCCTGTCAAATAAGTATCACAGTTATGAAGAAGGCCTGGGTTTATCACGCAGAGTGCTTAACTCAGTCCTTGTAGGCGTCAGGAGCAGTTCTCAGGACCGTGAGGAGCTACTATTGAGCTGATACACATTATGTTGCTTTTGGCCTGGGACACATGAAAGACTTTGGTTGACTTAGGACGTGTTCCTTGAGGAGGGACACTGGGGGACAGAAGCTTGGAAGAGTCTAAGGCAGAGGACTGTGTGGCAACATGGCTACAGGTTTGTGTAGTGGGGTAAAGTGACTGCAGGAAGAATCCTCCAGAGCCGGGCAGACAGAAGGTGAGATCAAAGTAGCGAGAGGCTAGTAGGGTTTGTTCCTAGGAAGAGAGGCTTGGTGACATCACAGCCTAGCAGTCTCACGGGGGGGGGGGTGCCTCCAGGTCGAACAACCCCCTCAGCATCAGAGAAGGTGCCAGGGATGAGAGCTGCTCTCTAAATACCACCGCACAGTGACTCAGACGCCCCCCACAGAAGGGCAAGCAGATCCTCACTGCACCTCCCTGAGGACTGCCCACAGCTTCCTGGGAGGAGGCCAATGGCATCCGAAAGCAGAAGTGAGCTGAGGAGCGAAACATGCTCAGCCCTGCCTAGTCCCTCCACCATCTGTCGATCTGTCCACTCATCCGTCTGTCTTATGACAATCAGAAAGTCTTCGCCAGGTTTTACAGGAGGCTGTGGTGCCAGTGGGCTGTTTACAGTTATCCAGCTCCCCCTGCATGCCTGTCCCATGGCTGTGCTAAATTGGGCAGACAGGAGAGATAGAGGCCAGCGTAGCCACAGCATCTTGTGAGGATGAAGATTACTGGGATTCAGTTATGGAAGCTTCTAATGTCAGGCCAATGGGTTAACCATAACCAAGAAGGAGACATTGGGGCTTTTAAACCTTCATGGTAATCTCAACATTTGGGAGACAGAGGCAGAAAGATCAGTGATTCAAGGTTGTCCTCGGCTACATAATGAGTTTGAGGCCATTTATCTCAAAACAACCAAAAGCCAATCAAACACTACCAACAACCAAAACCCTTCAGGTCTACCAGGTCTGTAATCTGGCACTGTAATCTGAGTGCGCCAAAGGCAAAGGCAGGAAGTAAATTCAAGGCTAGTCTGGGCAATATAGCAAGTTCCAGAGCAGCCAGAGCTGTATAGCAAGACCCTGATGAAGAAGGGGGAGATCACTGTGAGTTTGAGGCTAGCCTGGCCTACATGGTGAGTTCTGGACAGCCAGGGCTACATAGTGAGATCCTGTCTCTGACAAGAAAAGGAGGGGAAGTACAGTATGGAGGATCATATTTGTAATTCTAGCATTTTGGAATTAATGGCAGGAAGCTCAGGAGTCCATCCTGAGCTATGTGGGTACCGGTCTCAAAACACAACAAAATTAAGGAAACAGATTTTGAAGGCTGAACCACAAAAGGAGGCCCAGAATCTAGACTGGGTCGCAGAAAGCCCCTCCACGGCCCCTTCTCTCTCTAGATCCAGAGGAATACCTACTCCATCTTCTTCGATGAGAAGTTCTCTGTCCCCCTGGATCCCGCAGCCTTGGAGGAGAAGAGCCTCCGATTCTCTGTGTTCGGCATTGATGAGGACGAGCGGAACGTGAGCACTGGAGTGGTGGAGCTGAAGCTGTCTGTGCTGGACCTCCCGCTGCAGCCCTTCAGCGGCTGGCTGTACTTACAGGACCAGAATAAGGTATCACCCGCTTTGGCTCCCTGCTCACCCGAGGCGAGAACACACACAGACTTCCTAGGCGAGATGCCACTCTCCTGTCCTTGACCTGGACCCTGACAGCATTAGGAGAGCCACACTCTAGGGAACTGCACACTGCAAGTGGTGGCAAATACGCCCTCTAGATGTTTACAACTTTGATTTTTACAACAAATCTGCTTTGATTTTTTTTAACATTTTATTTATTGTGTTTTCTATGTGTATGAGTGTATGGGCATGCATACACACACAGAGAAGGCATGTGGAAGTCAGAAGACCCCTTGTCTTCTCCAAGTTGGGTCTCTCCCTCACCATGTGGGTTGTGGGTAATTGAACTCAGGTCATTTGGGTTAGTGGCAAGTCCTTTTACCCACCGAGCCATCTCTCTGGCCTGTTTCTCAGTTCTTTCTTCTTTTTTATTTTTTAGTATTTATTGATTTATTTATTTATTTTTGGATTTTTCAAGACAGGGTTTCTCCGTAGTTTTTGGTTCCTGTCCTGGAACTAGCTCTTGTAGACCAGGCTGGCCTCGAACTCACAGAGATCCTCCTGCCTCTGCCTCCGGAGTGCTGGGATTAAAGGCGTGCGCCACCACCGCCCGGCCAGTATATATTTATTTTTATTTTATGTTTTATTTATTTATTCTTATGAGTGTTTCTCCTGGTTTACCTGGATATATATTTGTGTGTCATGCACACGTACCATGCTCACAGAGGTCAGAGGAGGATGCCCAACCCCCAGGAACTGAAGTTACATAGGGTTGTGAGCTACATGATGGGTGCTGGAGACTGACCTGGGCCTTCTGGGAAGGAACCCAGTGCTCTGAGCTGCTGAGTCATCTCTTCAGCCCATCATCTCTGTACTGACCACATCGTCAGAAGTTCTATCCTATAAGCTACTGTTAGGGATGCACGGGTCTGACCTGAAAGAGGGTTATCTCAGACAGGGGCCAAGCTGAAGCTTACTTTTATCATGGCAACAATTTCAGGGAACGCTGTTGCTTAAGCAAATGCTGTCAACTTGGATCCCTTTACACTAGTCAGAGAATGTTTTCCTTGGCCCCGAATGAGGAACAAAACTACATCTGAGTGATGCACTTGACAGGCAACCTCTGGGCCTCCTTCCAAGGCATGGTCCACACCCGGAGCAAGGGGGGGGGGTCTGTGCATCCTCCCTGGTGTGGCAGGGGGTGGGTTGGTTGTCCTTTTCTCAATCCTGCCAGCCTGGTACCTGGTTAAGAGTTAGTCCCAAAGCAGTGGCTTTCTGATGGAGAAGGAAGTATCCACGTTTCCCTGGACCCCTTGACCCTGGAGGGCAGAAGACTCCTGAACCATACCTGTTTTCACAGGCTGCTGATGCTGTGGGAGAGATCCTGCTGTCCCTCAGTTACCTGCCCACAGCCGAGCGTCTGACTGTGGTTGTGGTAAAAGCCAAGAATCTTATCTGGACCAACGACAAGACCACAGCAGGTGAGGTCCTATGTCCTCGGCTCCTCCACATGGACCAGGGGGAGCTGTGTGCTATAAGCATGCGCTGGGCACAAGGCCAGAGTCCCTGTGGTTTCAACTAAGCTAGGAGCCAGGCATGCTGGGGAAACATGCGAACCCCGGAGGGTGACAAGCAGCCCAAGGTGTGGAGTGTAGAGGGAAAGTGACTGAATCTGAGGGCAGGAGCCAACACTTGTGCTGTGGCCAGACAAGAAATGGGGAGTCAGCCTCCATCTGTCAGAACTTGAGCTCAGAGACAGGGCAGAAACCCGGACTTTAAATGGGGAGGAGCCGTGCCCCAACCGTTGGGACGGGTGTCCTGTGGGCTCTCACACTCTGGGTCTGCGAGGACTTACTGGGACTTGTCTGCCAAGGGCCCCAGGCAGTAGGAAGACTTGGTATCTCAGAGCTGCACACTGTTAGGCCCCGCTGTGTTGGCATTCAGTCACTCAGATCTGCGGTCTGCACTCAGGCACTAACAGGGAGAGAAGCATCTGATCTGCCTCCTTCCAGGGAGTATGTGGGAGAGAAATTTGCAGTTGGTTGCCCTCTCTTGATTGGCCATGAGAGCCTTGGGTTTCTCAACTGGGAAGTGGATTTTAAATAATATCGAGGGTCTGGGGATCTGGGGTATAGGTCAGTTGATGGAGTGCTTGTCTAGCATGCATGAAGCCTTGGGTTCAGTAATCACACTGCATAAAACACAGCATGGGCCTGGTTGTAGTGGTATGCCCTTAATCCCGGCGCTCGGGAGGCTGAGGTAGGCAGATCTCTGCAAGTTCAAAGCCAGCCTGGTCTACATAGTGAGTTCCAGGACAGTCAGGGCTACACGACACAGTGAAACCCTGTTTCAGGAAAAAATATATATAATCAGGAGGTGTAGGCAGGAGAATCAGAAACTCAAGGTCATCCTTAAAATAACATCAAGCTATGTACAGTGGTATGCACTTATAGGCCCATCTACTCAGGAGACTGAGGCAGGAAGAGCCTTTAAGCCCAAGAATTCAGAACCAGCCTAAAAGATTTTTGTCTTTCAATATCTGTCAATCAATCAATGCCCAATAGCAAAGCAGGTGTATGCAATGGGGTGACTACTAGGATTACAGATTCAAGGCCAACCTGTGTTACCTAGCAAGACAAAAATAAACAAACAGCTGGAGAAATTGCTCCAAGGTTAAGAGCACTTGCTGCTCTTGGAGAGGACTGGAATTGAGTTCCCCGCATCCACACTGGGCAGTTTACAGCTGCCTATAACGCCAGCTCTCTGCCACCCTTTTCTAGGCTCTGCAGGCACTGCACGCACATGTGCGCACCCATACAGAGACACTTTCTGTGTATGTAATTTAAATACATAAGTCAAAATAAAAGTAAATCATATAAATTAGCTGGGTGGTGCTGGCATGAAACCATATCTTGAAAAACCCCAAAATAAACAAGTAAACAACAAAGTGTGAGTTTTCAAGCCAGGCACTGTGTAGTTGGCAGTTTTCATCTCCGCAGCTCAGGACTCTGAGGTAGGAGGATCCCTAAGCTCAGTTTAGAACCAGCCTGGAACACATAATGAGATCCTATTTGTTTGTTGTTGTTGTTTTATTTTGTTTTTATTTTTGCATTTCGAGACAAGTTTCTCTGTGTATTTCTGACTGTGCTGGAACTCACTCTGTAGACCAGGTTGATCTTGAACTCAGAGATCCACCTACCTCTGCCTCCCAAGCGCTGGGATTAAAGGCGTGCGTCTCCACCATCCTGCCCAGCTCCACGTCTTAATATAAATAAATAAATACCAAATGGTGACCTCTGGAGATAATGGCTATAAGCCAAAGACTAGGGAATTGGAGGCAGTGGGTGGAGCCAGAGTAGACAGGGCCATGGCACATAAGCAAGCAAGCGTGTTACTGACCCTCACCCACACACCTGCTTGTAGACCCCTTCGTCAAAGTATACCTGCTGCAGGATGGGAGGAAGATGAGCAAGAAGAAGACGGCAGTGAAGAGGGATGACCCCAACCCAGTGTTCAACGAAGCCATGATCTTCTCGGTACCAGCCATTGTGCTCCAGGTGAGGTGCGCCGGAGCCTCACAGGACTCTGGGCCACTGCATCCCTTTCGTGTTGCCTCATGGGAGGGACCTCAAGCCAACCTCCTTCTAGTCTATCACTAATTGAACCCACCTCTACGTGCCAGCCGGTGGTGAGGGTTGGGGACCCAGACACTGCTTTCTTTATGCCTACGAAGGACGGGTAGGGAAGTCCCTAGACTTTGTAAACCCCCTTGGAAGCTTCCCCAGTGTTAGTACTCAGGGGGGACTTTCTGCAGAAGGTGACAGCTCAGCTGAGCTCTGAGAAACCACACTGGCCTGAAGATGAGCTCAAGGTGACCCCAGGGCCTAGGGGTGTGAACCTAAGCCCTCAGAGGTCCTACTGCAAAGACCCCACTAGGATCTTCTCATCTTAGAGTTTCCAGACAACTATGTGCTCTGGTCTATCACAGACTACGGGCTGGGGGTGGTAGGATGAACCACAGAGAATATAGCTTAAGCCTTATCAGTCAGAGAGTGGGGATTTTGCTCCTTCCTTTCCTCTCCTTTCTCCTCTTATTGTCTCTTTCTATCCTTAGCTATGTCTAATAATCATCCTTGTACTAAAGCCTGCCCTGCAGCTCAGGGACTCTGCAGGGCTCACCTAGTTCCCTCCTAGGGATGTTCTTGGGAATTTCTTTGTTTTCCAGTGCTGAAGATGAACTGGAGGCTTTGTGTGTGCTAGGCACCCACTTTACCACTGAGATACCCTGCCAGCTCCTCAGATTTGAAAGCTGAATGTCAGCCTCACTCTGGGTGTCCCAAATCTAGGAATCTTGCTGGTCCTAGGATCATAACCTTGTCCCTTACTGGATAGTTCACCCATTTGACCCCTGCTTTTGCCCTGTTTGTCACAATGCCCCCTCCCTCTAACCTCCAAAACCGGAGCTGCTGGAGACTAGGTAAGAACATCTGGGCTAACATCTCAAACCTCTTCTTATTTAACCCTGACTCTCGGCTGTGATCACACATGATGATGCCTGTAGCAGGGAGAGGCATCTGAAAGTGCTCTGTTGATGGGCCAGTACCGGGTCACACATTTTCTGTTTCTGGGTTTTCTCCCTGCCTACATGCTTAATTTTCTTCCAACAGCAGCCCTATGGAGTAGGAAATGTTGTCATATTTTAAAGACAAAGAAACAGGTAGCAAAGGCTCAAGTCCAAAAGCCGGGAAGCTAGAGCACACACAGGATCTTGGGTTTCCAACACACACACACACACACACACTCACGCACACACACTTGTGCACACACATGCACACACACATGCACACACTCTTGTGCACACACATGCACACACACACTCATGCACACACTCTTGTACACACACATGCACACACACACGCACACACTCTTGTGCACACACATGCACACACACACTCACGCACACACTCTTGTGCACACACATGCACACACACACTCACGCACACACTCTTGTGCACACACATGCACACACACACTCACGCACACACTCTTGTGCACACACACACTCACGCACACACTCTTGTGCACACACACGCACTCACACACTCACGCACACACACTTGTGCACACACATGCACACACATACTCATGCACACACTCACGCACACACTCTTGTGCACACACATGCACACACACACTCACGCACACACTCTTGTGCACACACATGCACACACTCACGCACACACTCTTGTGCACACACACACTCACGCACACACTCTTGTGCACACACACACACACACACACACACACACACACACCCCACACCTCATAAACCAGGCATGGTGGTGCACTCACTCAGGAGGTGGAAGCGGGGCGGGGGGGGGTGTGTGTGTCAGAAGTTCAGGGTCATGTCCCACTCTGAAGGGATTTTGAGGCCAGCCTGAACTATAGATAAATATAAATAATGAGGTGGCAATGGTCTTTAGTTCTAGCACTCGAAAGACCAAGTTTGAGGCCAGCCTGGTCTGCATGGTGAACTGCAGACGATCAAGGCTACATAGTGAGACTCTCATGTCTCCTTTTCCCCAGGACCTGTCTCTCCGAGTGACCGTGGCTGAGAGCAGCAGTGATGGCCGTGGGGACAACGTGGGACATGTCATCATTGGTCCAGCGGCCAGTGGCATGGGCACCACACACTGGAACCAGATGCTGGCCACACTGCGCAGGCCTGTGTCCATGTGGCACCCAGTCCGGCGAAACTAGCAGCCAAAGCAGGCCAAATGGGCAGCAGAGCTGTCGGAGCCTGGCACCATCTCAGTTCTACCCAGCGATGCCCTCTCTATAGTCAGCTGGAGCTGTCGACACCGGGGCCGCCTCACCTCCTAGGGGGTCCTTATCAGTCATCTTGGATCCTCTGTCCAGACTGTCATGGAGGAATGGGTGTGGCTCTTCACCTGGAGACCTAGGGTAATTTCCCCACTAAGGACTACCTGGAGCTGGCTGGGGACCCAGCAGACTGACCAAGTGTGTACTAGGGAGCCTAATGAAGTATGTCCCTTAGCCTGCAGAGGCACATGGGTTTCAGAGCTGGTCAACACCCCTTCTGTGATTCTCTTAAGCTGTTAAGAAGTCTTGGGGGGCTAGTCCCTGTACTGACAGGACTAATGTTAACAAAGTCAAGAGGGCCCCTTTCCCATCCTGGTGGATAGCTCAGTTCTGATCAAGTGACTGCCCAGCCAGATGGACTTGGGAAGGAGCCCTCGGGTCTGGGGGAACAGGGAGAATCTCTCAGACAAGAAAGAAGCTGCACTTTGAGGGTTTGGGAGTAAATAGCATCCACATTTAGAAGGGGTGTAGTAGGTTGTAGTGAACAGTCAAACAATAGAAGGGACGGGACACAAGCTAGCCCATTCTAAACACAGACTCTACCTACTGCAATGGGGACAAGAAAAGGCCAGGAGACCAGGCCCAGCAGAAGCCTGTAGGCCACATGACCCTCCACCCCTGAGAGAACCAGACGTCCCCAGGGGCCCAGATCCACCAGTGTTAGCTGGTGTCCCTCCAGGCCAGGCCTCTCTCAAAGGAAAGCTCTCAGGCAGGCCTAAACCCAACCCTAGGAATAGTGGGCATCTTAGGTCAAGTTCCCAACACAGACTTCAGGGATAGTTAGCGTAGGCTGGAGCCAGTAGGAACTCTGAGGAAATGGTGTTCAGAAGGCAAGGGCCAGGTTGTACAACCACTATCAAAATCGTTCATTGGCTCCCACCTGGCCATAGTTAGCAGGGGTATCACCCCCCCCCCCAGATTTCATAAATGTCATTTGATAATGGCAGTCCCAGAGAAGGGGTGGCTTTTGGCTTCTCTCTGGTACCTGCAGATTTAAAAGGATAGTGGGCATGGGAAGTGATAAGACAAGGACTCAGGTGGCTGCCTCTGGTCCTTGGCCCTAAGGAATCATGGATACCCAGGAAACATGGAGACCCAGGTCTAATCAGTTACCACGTATGACAAGGGGAGGGGTGGCTAGAACAGGAACACACAGGAACAGGCCTGGACGTCGGACACCTGCTGTAACCGGACCCGACTGAAGCCAGGCTTCTCAGCCTGGGGCCAGTATCAAGAGGTAAATACTGGACCAGGGATACTGGTGGCTGGGCCAGGCATTGTCATCTGGAAGCCCCGGACCCTCTCTAAGCCAGTGGCTTTGCAGGGCAGAACACATCTCTCAACCTCCATTCCCTTGTTCCTTCCTTCTATACTGCATGAGACGTTGACCGTGTGCCCGGGTGGCTGTGGTGCTGACCAAGAATGCTGACTAGAATGATTCTCAAACCAAAATAAAGCTGGAGCAGAAGGGGGCTTACAGGGAGCCCTGCTCAGCCTAGAGTCATCTCCCTGTCTTCACTGGGAACCTTGGGCCCCACAGGGGTCCTGTGAGATCCCCAGTCCCAGTCCCGGTAGGGAAAGGTGGGCATGGGGAAATCACGGAAGGCTTCCCAGTGGTGGCACATAGTTGAGCATTAAGTATGTAAGGCAGGAAAAGCATTTCGAGTAGAGACACAATGGGCAGAGTTCCCCTGCCTTGCTAGCTCAGGGGAGGGAACCAAAGATCAGAGAGGCAGAGCATAGGCCATAGAGGGATAAAGGGCCTTCCTTACAAGGTCATCGAGAACTGATTCTCAGTCTGCAGTCGAGCAGCCCTCAAAGGCAGCAACTGTGGCATTCCATCTGTAGAGATGTAGAAACCAGAGCCCAGAGAAGTTAAGTAACTGGCCTAAGATCACACAGCCAGAAAGTCACCAAGTTATGATTCAAGTTGGGGCATTATGGTTCAAGAATCCATGCTCTCGAACCTGAGGACACACTGCCTTTTTTCCAATTCCTCAGAAGTCACTGAAGGGCAGCTGAAAACTTTCTGGATCCCAACATAGTCCTCTCCTTCCTTTTTCCTGGGAGTTCCGGAGCTAGATAATAATCCAGTGTCTTAGCAAGGGGTAGGTGGGGCAGGCCTGCTTATATGCTTTGTGTACATTGTATGGCATTCTCAAGAACAAAGACATTTTTGGTGGCTTCCCCTATCCCAGGATTTCTCTGTGTAGCTCTGGCTGTCCTGGAACTTATTCTGTAGACCAGGCTGGCCTCAGACTCAGTGATCTGCCTGCCTCTGCCTCCCAAGTGCCGGGATTAAAGGCAATAAGCTACCACCACTGCCATCACCAACCGATTTAAGAATAAAGAACATTTTAAATTCCTAGCATCCACCCCCAGTAGACCACAGGGCACAACTGGGGACCCTTGTCTGGAGAACCACAGCGTGGCAGAGACTTGAGAGACTGAGGGAGATGGGCTGTGGAGCCTCCCAGCAATCCCAGTGAGGTTCCCTTTTCCAGAGGTTTCCTCCCGCCTCCCTCTGCTGGCGGGAGGGAACCTGGAAAAGGCTCTGAGCAACAGCAGGCCCAGGTTGGGGTTGAGGACCCAGAAGGGAAAGGAAGCAGCATAGTTCTAGGCAGAGAGGCACAAGCAGGGCAGGCAGGTGGCTCAGTTATCTCTAGGTTTGGGGTTCATTAAAGAGTTTTCAAAATGACTGGAGAAATGGCTCAGAGGTTGAGAGCACTTGCTGCTCTAACAAAGGACCCAGGTTCAGTTTCAAGTACCCACAGAGCAGGCTCACAACAGTCTGCAACTCCTCCACTTCCAGAGGCTCTAGAGCCCTTTGTTCTCTAGGCCATGCATGTGCTTCACTTACATACACACACAGGCAAGACACTAATACACACAAAAATAGAAACAGATAAAACCTCAGAGGCACTACTGGAGAGAAGCAGGGTGGCTGCGGCTGGCAGAGGCGTGTCCTGCCCCCATCTTCTTTCATGACTCTCTTCACCTGTCTCCACCCCTTTGGACACCTTCCCTGGGCGCCCCTCCTTTCCCACTCTTTCCGGTCCCCTTTTCCTCGCACCCAGTCTATGGGCCTGCCTTCAGCGTCCTGGGCCCCTCTCTCTGAGGACTTACCCAAGAGGAAAGTGTTGCCGTGCTGGAGGCTGGCCTGCCTATAGCAAGGGGGGATGAGTTCTTTGGTACCCACTGATGACAGCAGCTCTTACCTCTTCCTCCTTTCCCCTGCCTGAGCCCATCCTTCTGTGTCTGCAGATACCCAGAGCGAGTTAATTAGGGGGCTTTTATGACCCCTGAGATGGGGCCGTAGAGCTCCCCTCCCTCTTCAGTTCACCCAGTTGCTGGTTCACCCTTCCTAGCGGGGAAAGCCCAGCAGTAGCAAGATTCTAACCAGGAGGTCCATGCAGTTGAGGGAGCTGGACTTCCCATAGAAGGATGATTGGGAGGGGGCACCTTCTGGGTTCTACTGTGCATAGGCCTGGGTCTGCTTGCTTCTCTGCTGTATGAAAAGTTACTTCTACTCTCAGGGCCTCAGTTTCTCCAACTGAAAAATGAAGAGTGTTGGACAAGTTGCCCCATAAAATGCTCCTCACACCTCTGACTTCATTTGTTTATTTAAAATTGTTTATTTTATATGTAGAGTCAGTGTTTTGCACGAATGCATGTGTACCATATGTGTGCCCAGTGTCCACAGAGGTCAGAGAGGGATCGAATACTCTGAAACTGGACTTACTGGCTGTGAACTACCATCTGGTGCTGAGACCCGAACTCAGGTCCTCTGTCAGAGCAACAAGTGCGCTTAACCACTGAGTCAGCTCTCCAGTTGCCCCCGCCTTTTGGATTGTTATTTCCATTAAAAAATTTACACTTCCTCCCCTCCTCCCATTCCCTTCCTGCTCCCCCACTCACCCTCCTCCCCCTTCCTCCCTCCTTAAGAGAGGGCAGGGAACCCTGCCCAGTGGGAAGTCCAAGGCCCTCCCTACTACATCCAGGCCTAGGAAGCTCTGCATCCAAATAGACTAGGGTCTCAAAAAGCCAGTACGTGCAGTAGAAACAAGTCCCAGTGCCTTTATCAATGGCTTCCCAGTCAGCCCCCATTGTCAGCCACATTCAGAGAGTCCAGTTTGATCGCATGCTCATTCAGTCCCGGTCCAGCTGGATTTGATGAGCTCCCATTAGAACAGGCACACTGCCTCAGTGGGTGGACCAACCCCTGGCAGTCCAGACTTCCTTGCTCATTTTCTCCCTCCTTCTGCTCTTCAGCTGGACCTTGGGAGCTCAGTCTGTTGCTCTGATGAGGGTCTCTGACTCTATCTCCATCTGTTGCCGGACAAAGATTCTATGGTGGTATTTGAGAAAATCATCAGTGTGATAGTAGGGCCTGACTTTTGTTTAGGGGCTGGGCCTCACAGATCCTGGGCTGGCCTCAAACCCATTATATAGATAAGGATAACACTGAACTCCTATTTCTACTGCCTCTATCTCCCAAGTGCTGTGATTACAGGCATGGCCACCAACTTGGCTTAATTTGTGAGGATTCTGTAAGGACAAACTCTGGAACTCAGTGTCCAGGTTTTAACTGCTAGCTGGGCCTTGTCTAAGTTCTCTCTCCTCTTTGGGCCTCTGCTTCTTCATTTCACAGATGCATAGGAATCGTATGTACTTCCAAGGGCAGGATGAAACGGCATTGCCAAGTGCATGGCACACAGTAAGTGCTCGATTTATGTGAGGGCAAAGTTTTGAATGGCACAGTCCAGGCTGAATCCAAGGACTTCTGGAATCTGGTGGTTGGGACTAAAGAGGGAGGGCATACAGAGCACATGCAAAGGCTTGGAGAATTGTACCCCAGGTCACCCTGCCAAGGCCCCCCAAAGGCGAGGCCGTGTCTACATAAACACTCAGCACCCCATGCCAGGAGCCCCAGGGGAAAGCCCTGGGAATGACCTGCAGAGAACAGAGCGGTCACGCGGTGGCAGCAAAGAGTCAGAGCAGCCTGAGATGCCCAGCTGCAAGGGAGGGCAGAGGTGGACCAAAAAGTGGGGCCAAAAGTTAGGGGGTCTATCCTTGGAGCAAGTAGAAGCTGCAGAACACGGCCCCACCTATGGTCACGCGTTATATGTATTTAGCCTTCAGCTCTTCTATATTTATTTATGTATTTCCTTGTTTATTTATTTTGAGGTTTCACTGTTTAACTCTGTCTAGCTTGGAACTTGCTCTGTAGCCCAGTCTGGCCTTGAACTCACAGAGAACCGCCCTCCTGCTGAGTGCTGGGGTTACAGGCGTGTACCACCACCACGCTCAGCCATTTGGTCAGTTTGATTCTTTCAATCTCCTCTTTCTTCCCTTCCCTTCTTCCCTGTCCTTTCCTATTTACTTCATTCTGTTCTTTTCTCTCTCTTCCCGTGTTTGTCCAGCCAGGCTGTCAATTAGACATAATATCCGGAACCACAGCTGGCGCCTGTCTGAGATAGTCTGGGGTACAGAAATGGGTCAGCTGTGGTCAGCCCCGGGTAGCTCTTGAGGTGGCCCTGGCTCTGCTGGAGACCTGCATCACTAAGAACAACATTCCAGACGGATGCTGGCCCCACCCCCTCCTCGGTGCTGAGGTCTGCAGGGCAGTCACATGCTACACAGGGTTCATAAAGAATTCTGGGCTTGGGATTGATGGGGCCTGGAGGGGTTGAGTCACCCACAGGCCGGAAGTCAGCAGCAGCAGCTACGGTAAACAGAAAAACAGCAAACAGCACCCTGATGAGGCCGACTATGTGGCCTGGGCCACTCCAAAAATAAACTTCAGGAAAACAGTGAAGTCCAGAGTCCAGTAATGTCAGATTTGGGAAAGCTCCCGGTCACCAGGGCAGATGGCCATGGGTCAGTGACTGACTGATATGCCTCTCGCAGGAACCTGAGCAGAGACTGTTGATGAGGCTGGGCTGGACATGGGAAAGAACAAGTCCCAGCTCTGGGTCTTAATGGCCTAATCTAAGCAGCGTCCTCCCTCTGGGGTTCAGTCCTCAAGTCTGCAAACAAGAAGTAGGACCATCCCCCGAGCCTACCTCATAGTGTGAGAGCTGAGAGCAATAAAGGACAAGAAGTAAGATTTGGGAGCAGCTGTAGGCTAGTCTTACCCGGGTCCATGTGCCACTGGCCTCTTAACTATCATTGGAGCTTAAACAAGAAGTTACCTTCTCTAAGCCTCAGTTTTCTCCTCTGTAAAATGGAGCTAGCAATTCCTGCCTCCTGGTGGACAGTCCCTGCACAGAAGCTCCCACCCATCAGTGGGTGCTGTTACCAGGAGGTAGAGAAACAGTAAAGTGTGACTGTCAAGGGTGTCATTACAGTGATTATCCCTATAGCAACCGAGGTCAACCTCCTTGGCCTGACTCTCAACTTCCTCCACCCTTACTCTGGCTCCACCTGCCTCCCAGGACTGGTGACAGCAAGCAGGGATGACTAGGCTGACAGCTGACTGGAGTGGGGATGGGACGGGACAGGACAGGACGGTGGGGGGGGGGGAGGCACGACGGGACAGGGACTGGGACAGGGACGGGACACAGGGCCCCTCCTTACCACTCCTTGGATTGGGCGTCCTGCTCAGCTACATACCCAGCCTCATGCCAAGTCCTACCCAGCCCTGTGGCAGTTTCAGGGAAGGGGCAGAGCTGTCTTGGGGAGGTTCCCTCTGTGCAGCTGAGCTGGCAGCCGCCGCCCTGAGGGGAACTGGAAACTGCCTTCTTGGGACACAATGAAGATCATATAGGTCTGACAGTTCTTTTCACCTGACTTTGAATACCATGGGGATGACGTCATAACCAGTGTGGGGTGGGAGGTAACACCCAAAGACTTCCGACTTTGGTCCACTTAACTTCCACGTAAACACCCAGTCCAAAGTCTGGGAAGACAAAGACCGCCCCCCGCCCCCACTTCTTTTAGACAGAACATCTAGCCCAGGCTGGTCTTAAACTTTCTGTATGGCCAAGCTGACACTAACTGAATTTCCGATCCTCCTGCCTTCACTTCACTAGAACTGGAATCACAAGCATGCACCTCCAAGTTCAGTTTATGTGATAGTGGGGTGGAACTCGGGCTTTCATGCATGCTAGCTAAACATTCTAGCAGAAAAGCTACATTCCCAGCCTACTTATGTCCACTAAAAATTAAATATATATATAATCACAAAGGAGAACGCGGGATTTAGAGGACAGTAAGTTTTCAGTTCCATATTGGATTTATTCCTGAAATCCCAAATGCGCCTCCAACTCCTCAGTCAAGCCCCGCCCTCTAGCCCGTAGCTTGGAAGGGGGCGGGGCCACCTTACGCCAGCCTCTTTGTGTTGTCTTTGAAACACCTGTTACTTTTTCTTCAAGACTGCCTCTCCCGTGAAAATGTCCTCCGTGTTTACCCCAGGTGAGGAGTCCCTTTTTCTCTCTCTGGTCTCTCTGCCTCAGGCAGATCTTACATTGATGGTGGCCTGCCCAGCTCCCAGTCTAGGCTTCTCACAGTAGATGTTGTGACTTGAACAGCGCAGGGGCCCCAGATTCTTGGAAACGAAGGACCATCTGTGTTGGTTAAATATTCTACCAAGGAGCTGGAGAGATAGCCCAGAGGTTAAGAGCATTGGCTGCTATGCCAGAGAACTCAGGTTCCCCCACATAGTGGCTCCTATTTGTCTGTCACTCGAGTTCCAAGACTTCGGAGGGCAGCGGTCACCAAGTATGTCCGTGATGCAGACATACACTCAGATAAAAACCCATTCACACAAAAATAAAATTTTAACGTAAGTATTATACTAAGGACCACTCATGGCATCAGCCATATGCCAGAGCCTGCTATGAGAGCTACAGATGGACGGTTCCGTAGTTTCCCTAGATCCTTGCCTGTCTGGGGGAGACAGGTAGTGATTCGCCTTCATTGAAGAATCCTGGTGTTGGCCAAAGAGGTCCTGCAGGAACCCACAAGGGCATGTCCGGGCCATTCCCTTCTCATCTGTCCTGCACCTGAAGGTGGTCTGGATTGTTAGGCCCCCAAGCACAGAAACTTAGATTCGTTCATTTCATTCACTCATAAAAGACCACCTCCCTCCCAGGCAGATGGGCCAGCCCAGGTGCGTCTTCCCTCCCTGTCCCCAACCCCTCTTCAACTGCCTGTCTAGTTATTTTTTCCCCCAGGAGCCCCGGGTGCCCTCTGGAGGCATAGGTTTCCGCCCACCTCTGTGGCCTCAGTGACTGCGCCCCACAGTAGGTGCTCCAAAGGTGTTTCATGAGTGGCCAGCTAGGACGCCAGGAGACCGTACCCCGGGAGCGCTCCACGCCTGGCCGGCTATCGCGCCCCCATCCTGGTCAGAGCCTCTCACCTGAGCTGAGTGTCCCCCGCCCCCCGGGCCGCCTCCTGCCAGGGCCGCCCCGCTCCCACTTCCTCCCGCCGCCCCGCCCCTTCCACATTCCTGTCCCGCCGGGCCAGCCCCGCGCCCGCCGCAGCTAGCCCGCCGCGCACCACCGGCTGCTCCGCGCACGGCTGCCCGCCCGCCCGCCCGCCCGCCCGCTCGGGATGAAGGCGGCCCAGGCCGCCGGGGAGGAGGCGCCG